ATAAAGATCTGAGAAGTTTTTTTTTCAAACAGCTATGAATTTTTATAATTTTTACTGTGTAAATTTGTAAATTATTATTGATCTTGTATGACGGTTGATTCGTAATTTGTCAAGACCGGAAATCATTTTACGCAGTTTAACCCCTGACATTTTAATTCATTTCGAGTTCACGCGTATTGGGCGTGTTTGTCGGCGGGAAAATCCTAATTCAAATGATTCCTCACTGTCGATTTTTATTATTTCTGGTTTATTTGTCACATTATAAGCAATACATTATTTTTGTTTTACTTCTAGTGTTGCATATTGTTCATTTATTTCCGTTGCATGTTTTCATTTGACGTTCTATTCCCTGCCGCAGTTCGATCTGTGTGTTGTCAATTTTCGCGAATTTTCGTTTTTTTTGCCGGGGATCTCCTGGCAAACGCCCACCCCTTCTTTTTGGCAATTTTCCATGTTCAAGACCCTGGGCTTATACCCGGATAAATACGGTAATGACTCTTACCTAATCTGCTTTATGGATTATCACAGACCACATATGCAGCAAGTTTTAAATAGAAATCCATCAGGTGGCTCTTGAATATTGAAACAGCTGGAAATTGGCCACTATTACACAAATTATGTAATTAATAACCACAGATTTCAAGCAAAACCTAATTAGGTCTGCATACTAACCAAAATTATCTAGGTACCAAGTTTTATTCAAATTGCATGAGTGGTTTTTGAGATATCAAAAATGCCTAATGTCTAACCCCAAACTTAAACCACTCTGTAGATCATGCCAGAGCAGCCGATGGGGGAAGTTTTATTGAAATATTTTGGGTCGCTTTTAAGATATCATCAGAACTACAAATGTGCAAACTGAAGGCCGACAAAAAACAAAACCTATTGATAGTGGCCAGTTATAGTTCTGCTGAAAACAATGCATGTATAAACCAACTGGAGAACAAGTAAAATTAACTTAGTTTTCACCTACTATGTTGCTTCAATCTAGGTTATTATAGTCACAAAGTACATTTTGCTTTACCTTTGGTAATTTTGGGGATAGTTCTTCATCAGCTATTAGCTTTAAACATTCTTCATTGATGCTAATATCCTCAGCAGTTGATGTATCTATCAGCTCTATATGTGTCACTTCACCTCTAGAAGACAAAGAGGTGAACAGTGATGAACTTAAGAGGAATACATATGATATGCAAAAGGAACACGGAGATGAATGCAAGAGGAACGCGGCGATGAATGCAAAAGGAACGTGGTGATGAATGCAAGAGGAACTTGGCGATGAATGCAAAGGAACGTGGCGATGAATGAAGAGGAATGTGACGAGGAATGAAGAGGAACGTGGCAATGAATGCAAGAGGTATAGTACGTGGCGATGAATGCAAGAGGTATAGTACGTGGTGATGAATGCAAGAGGAACCTGGTGATGAATGCAAGAGGAACACGGCGATGAATGCAAAGGAACTTGGCGATGAATGCAAGAAGTACAGTACGTGGTGATGAATGCAAGAGGAACGTGGTGATGAATGCAAGAGGAACGTGGTGATGAATGCAAGAGGAACGTGGTGATGAATGCAAGAGGAACGTGGCGATGAATGCAAGAGGAACGTGGTGATGAATGCAAGAGGAACGTGGCGATGAATGCAAGAGGAACGTGGCGATGAATGCAAGAGGAACGTGGCGATGAATGCAAGAGGAACGTGGTGATGAATGCAAGAGGAACGTGGTGATGAATGCAAGAGGAACGTGGTGATGAATGCAAGAGGAACGTGGTGATGAATGCAAGAGGAACGTGGTGATGATTGCAAGAGGAACGTGGTGATGATTGCAAGAGGAATGTGGTGATGATTGCAAGAGGAACGTGGTGATGAATGCAAGAGGAACGTGGTGATGATTGCAAGAGGAACGTGGTGATGATTGCAAGAGGAACGTGGTGATGATTGCAAGAGGAACGTGGTGATGATTGCAAGAGGAATGTGGTGATGATTGCAAGAGGAACGTGGTGATGAATGCAAGGTTACAGGAACGCCGCAGTGAATGCAAGAGGAACGCCGCAGTGAATGCAAGAGGAACGCCGCAGTGAATGCAAGAGGAACGCCGCAGTGAATGCAAGAGGAACGCCGCAGTGAATGCAAGAAGAACGCCGCAGTGAATGCAAGAAGAACGTGGTGATGAATGCAAGAGGAACGTGGTGATGATTGCAAGAGGAACGTGGTGATGATTGCAAGAGGAATGTGGTGATGATTGCAAGAGGAATGTGGTGATGAATGCAAGGTTACAGGAACGCCGCAGTGAATGCAAGAGGAACGCCGCAGTGAATGCAAGAAGAACGCCGCAGTGAATGCAAGAGGAACGCCGCAGTGAATGCAAGAAGAACGCCGCAGTGAATGCAAGAAGAACGTGGTGATGAATGCAAGAGGAACGTGGTGATGATTGCAAGAGGAACGTGGTGATGATTGCAAGAGGAATGTGGTGATGAATGCAAGGTTAC